GGGGGCAGCCAGGGCTCAACCACTCATCCACGTGGCTGGCCTTGTACGTAAGAGGTGATGAACAGTTGGGGCTTTCCTTCCTTCTTTTCCTTTCCTTGTTTTCCTGTGGTGTGACGAATCCAACGCAAGAAGGTCTGCCAATGTCTAGGTGATGTGTAATGAATCGAAAGCAAGAAATGATGACAACATCCTCTAGGTCAGATGTCAGGGATATGACAGATCTGGATTTGAACTTTGAAGTAATGTACCTATGGAGTTGGAATCACCCTACCCTTGGTTCGTGGGAACAGTGCGAGTTGTTGCCTTGCCTGTAGGTCTGTTGTCTCTTTAGGTGGCTGCGCGTTTCCCTTCGTCTTTCGTTTCTGAAATGGTGGCTAGTTTGCCGCCCGGTTTTACTGGTACTGCTAGTGGGACCACGCCCAAGGGGTCTTCGTCGTCGTCGTCGTCGCAAGAAGCCCATGAGATGGCAAGAAGCAGAAGATGGAAAGAGGGAGTGCCAAGAAGGAGATGGCGATGGCGATGGCAAGAGTAACGGCGGCATTGGGTAGAATAGGAAAAGATGCAACGAAGGAGGGAAGTGAACTTTACGAGATGGCGGGAAAGAGCGAAGGAGGGAAAGAGATGCGGGAAGTAGATGGCTAGAAGGAGATGGCGGGAAAAGAGTAAGGAGAGAAGGAGGTGGCGGGAAAGAGATGGCTAGAAGGAGATGGCGGGAAAAGGGGGGGGGGAGAAGGAGATCGTACGAAAGAGAGGGAACTGAACTTTACGAGATGGCGGGAAAGAGATGGCCGGAAAGAGATGGCGGGAAGTACATGGCTAGAAGGAGATGGCGGGAAAAGCGGAGGGCGAGAAGGAGATGGCGGGAAAAGGGGAGGGCGAGAAGGAGATGGCAGGAAAAGGGGAGGGCGAGAAGGAGATGGCGGGAAAAGGAGAGGGCGAGAAGGAGATGGCGGGAAAAGGGGAGGGCGAGAAGGAGATGGCCGGAAAACGGGAGGGCAAGAAGGAGATGAGGAGAAGAAGATGGTGGGGGATTGAGATCGTGAGAAGAAGGAGATGGCTATGGCGCGAGGGCATCTTGCCGAAGAAGAAGACCAGATGAAGGAAGGAGGAGATGGAGATCGTGAGAAGAAGGAGATGGCTATGGCGAGACTAAAATGACCGTGCGTTCTATTCGGATAAGGGCGGTGGTAAGCGCACCGAGAAACACTCTCAATCGACCAGAACGCACTCTCATCATGAACGTATACAAGCCTTCTTTCCGGTCCGATACAGTCATGATAAATGTGCGTCACGTTGAGGCGAACCAGAGAGAGAGACACAGAGAGAGAGAGAGAGAGAGAGAGAGAGAGAGAGAGAGACTGATCATGAATGTGAACAACCCTTCTTTACGGTCCCTTACAGTCATGATAAATGTGAGTCGCGTAGAGGCGAAATCAGAGAGAGAGAGAGAGAGAGAGAGAGAGAGAGAGAATGGCTTCACTTACTTCCGATGTTCTTCAGGCTTATCCGTCCAGCGCACCCTCCACGATCGCCAACTACGAAGTAAGGAGCAGAGTGGTGTGTGCGTGTGTGCGTGTGTGCGTGTGTGCGTGTGCGTGTGTGTGCGGTCTCTCTCTCACACACACACACACGAGCGAGTGTAAAGCGTCTCTCACACACACAGACACACACATACACACCAAAACCCACACACATACGTGCGCGTGTAAAGCACCTCTCTCTCTGTCTCTCTCTCTCACACACACACACACACAACCACACACACACGTCACGTGTAAAGGGCCTCTGTGTCTGTGTGTGTGTGTGTGTGTCACCTTGTGCTGCTGTGTTGTGAAACTGGCGCATGCATCTGGTCAAGATCACGGCCGGGTGCACTGAAAATAGAGGGAAGAAGAAGAGAGAGGTTGACAAACCGAGAGGCAACGGTGCGACCGTCAGGGAACAGGTGCGCCCGGCACCGTTTCAATTTCTCGACCAAAGGGCCTGCGTCCACGACGTTTCGGATTCGAAAATCAAGGCCCTAATGCCCTTCTTCCCATAAATAACCGGTACCGGCGTCGAATAGGGTCTCGGGGATAGCAGTCTCCAGCTACCAAAATAGGGCCCGTCGGAGTCTGGAGATACGCGAATTGTGAGGCTCGAATTCTATACGGCCCGCATGTTGTGAGGCTCGAATTTTATAGGGCCCGACGCAGTTCGGAGATCGTGGAAGACACCAAAAGAGAACCAATCACAAGGTTAATTAACGGGATACCGTAATGATCAAATTCTTACTTCCCACGACAGAACTCGTGTTGCAAATAAGTGAGAGCACAAAGACGACGGGGTGTTACGCGGTATACACGGACCACGGCATCACACAACAGAAGATAGATGGTAAGCGGTTATAACCAAACAAATGCCACAATAACATTAAAGAGTAAGGCCAGTCATTGATCGACCATCTTTTACGAGCACCACCTCCACTGAAAATCAGTCGCCAATCGAAATGTGGTACAAACTATCACCACTCGCCGCGATCGTGAACGCTGGTATCGAATGACTGGCCACTTGAACTCCACAACAGCGATAAGTTGCAACAGTATCAATAATCGCCTTGATAAATCAGCAGACAGGAGGATAGAGAGGAGGAAAGAGGAAGAAAAGATCAGTAGGGAAGGCGAAGGCAAAGAACCGTACTTGACATCATGCCCGTCAAATTCGTGAAGGATCATCATCATCACATCATCATCACATCATCATTACCACGTCTTTTCAACATCATTAAGCATCGATGTTTCGATGTTGATCATCACTAATCAACTCGCCCCGTTAGCTAACTACACGCATTGCCTGCAGAAAGAACCGCCGCATTAGTAAAGAGGTTGCTGCCTACCACGCTCATGTTGTCCTCCTTCCCTAATCAGTCAGCATTCCAATCAATCTCGTCATCAGCGCGTCTAACGCATGATCTGACTCACGATCACCGTCCACATCACCGCGTTCACTTATAATACCGCTTGTCAATCTCGGATTCATCAGCACCACCATCATTCCTCCATCACTACAAACACAAAGCGATATAAATAACTCCACTCATTTACGCTTTTCACGTTTCTGCAAGTGTGAAACTCTTTCTCCTCTTCTCCTCCACACCGCACAACATCACCCCCCTCGTGTACACAACCGAGGTGGACAACATCACTATCTCCATCTCTTTCATTGCCATTGCCCCCTTTCCCCTCTCGTTACTACCGTCTTCACCCGAATAGAACGCCCAGTAACTCTATTTTGGCTACCATTCAGTCTCACTAGAGCTATAATGACCGTCCGTTCTATTCCGGTGACGACAGCAATTATTCGTCCTCGTCTTCATTGTCGTATGTAATGTCAACCACAGTCGTCTTCTCTCTCTATCTCCACTTACATCGAACCTTTCCCTCGTGGGTCTACTTCCAATACTTCCCCTTGCTCTTCTTCCCCTTTACATTGTCCGCACTCTTTCTGCTTCTACCGCGATCAGAAACGAGCCTTCCTTCAGTCTCTTTTCCCGTTCAAATTCATTCTCATTCTCCGACACCAGAAGTCCAAAAGCTAACTGCACGAAGTCATTCTGTAGCTTCCATCTTATGCCCGCATCATCTCTGGGGAAGAGAGAGAGAGAGACGCATCATCAGGTTCACAACTGTTCATGAATCTGTTCGTGAATCCGTACCAACAACAAGACCGCAGAGTGTGGTCCCCACCCTTGACGCAAAAAGGGATCTGGAAAAAACTTAATCAATCTTTTCAATGGGATCCACTTACCCACACAACAGAGAAGAGACCCATTTGTTCGTTTGTACATGCCAGCCGCTAAGCATCGAAAAGAAATAGGTGATTGACAAAGAAAGCAGGAAACAGAATAGCCGATAGACAGACAGAGCTAATCACGTCGACGCAGCAGAGAGGAGACTATGCACAACATCCCCACCCTACACAGACATGGATAACCCTAAGAAACAAAGGAAACGCCCCACATCACATTTCGCTGTTGTTCTGCGCTTTCATTTGCGTCGGAGATTGCTTCTACCGTGTGGGATGTACAAGTTCAATCTATGCCTGACTAATCAAGTGCACGCGAATGAAAGCCGAAAGGGGGCGAACTCGACAACCGCTTTACACAGACTTTGGAAGCCCGTTGGCAGAAACCGCAATCATCCCAATGAGATCATCCTCGTGCCCACTGTCATCATCAATCAACTCTCTCTCTCTCTCTCTCTCTCTCTCTCTCTCTCTCTCTCTCTCTCTCTCTCTCTCTCTCTCACACACACACACACACAAGGAAAGAGACCGAACAATCATAGCGCATCCTCGTGATCACTGTCATCCTCAATCAACTCTCTCTCTCTCTCTCTCTCTCTCTCTCTCTCTCTCTCTCTCTCTCTCTCTCTCTCTCTCTCTCTCACNCAACTCTCTCTCTCTCTCTCTCTCTCTCTCTCTCTCTCTCTCTCTCTCTCTCTCTCTCTCTCTCTCTCTCACACACACACACACACACACACACAACAACAGAGAAAGGAGATCTACGGCAACGCAGCCATCGAATTGAATCGATGTTTGGGATCTGGCTGCCATTGCAGTCAGAGACGTCATAGAGAGAGTCAGAAAAGCACGGAGATCTTCTCCTCAATTAGGCAAAGTGACAAGCGCGTGATATAGATTTTTTAAACGAATCTGGCCGTAGTTACGGCTGCCGCACCGCGAGGTCCTAAACACGGAGCGGAGAACATGACATAGAGCTCGCGGACAGCGCGGTCGGTGAGAGCTCTAATAACAGCGTACGACAGCACCCTAAGGTCAGCAACCTGCAAACAATATAACAACGCTTCTGCTTGGCTGCGATACACCGCGAAGAAGAATCTCAGAAACGTGCCGAGCTGCCCACGAGCCGTAAGCATATTAACTTACGAGGACTTGCAAGCCTTGCAATTCCCGTCGTATACAAGGAAAACACATACTACACGTAAATCAAACGCCACAATAGAAACAAGGGCTTGTTCTGCGCAAGCAAGAGACGGATAATGTACAACGACGAGGAATACCTGCCCGGACAAAAGAAACAGCGGACCTCCACTCAAGACCTCATTAACTACCTGCCAGTTACCATGTCCGTCTAAAGGTTGAATCTCGCCGAGGGGTAGGTCAACATGCATGCGATCCCTAGTGTACATGCTGAGAGAATCGAGGAAACACAATGCTACTCACCTGCCAACGACTACATTCGAGATTATTCCCGCAAGCCCTTATTAACATGTACTCTCTCTCTCTCTCTCTCTCTCTCGCGGCAGCGAAGGCCACGATAGGTTACGGTCATTCTTTGTAGTTGTTAATTAAAGAAGCGGACCACTCTGTTCCTCCCTCCTCCCTGTAGGATATTATACAAAATGCTGTTATCCTCCCTCCACTGCTCACTGCTCATTGCTCATTGCTCATTGCTCATTTCCGCCTGCCCTGGAATTCCCCGCCGCCCCCCGCCCGAAACCCACCACCCTGCGGGCGCCCAGCACCATGAAAGCCAGTATTTGTCGCTGCCTGCTGTGGATAACACCAGTGCTCGTTGCTAATTACTCAC